AGGGCGGACAGCCTCCAAATGGCTACTTGTAACACATTTGAGCCAACTAGTTAGAATAACATAAGGGATTTGCATCCCAGAAGACAAAACGACTTGAAATTACACACTACACACCCATCATTTAAACGTTTTGGTCTACTCCACCCCCAGGGCATGGGTTGAATCTCTTCCTCAGGCCTTTGGGCCCTGCCTGTTCCCCCCTAAATGCAAATGCCTTTCTGTCTCTGTTCCCCCATTTCTCTCTCTCCTCCCCAGATCAGCTGCGTACAAACAGAAGGCTTTGCAAAAACAGTGTGTAACCCATATAGTTGAAAGTAATGCAAAGTATACGAGAAGTGATATGGATTGGGATTTTCACAGCACAGAGGTTGGTTGAGGTGACACTCTGATGCAAACCTAGCACATCAAGCTCACTGACAGCTGCGTGGACGGGTTGTGGTCCCTCAATCAATAGGGACATGGAAACACCTTTGCAAAGCATGCACGTGGGCATACACTCCAGAGATTAACAGAGACGCTCGGTTTAACTGTTCTAACAAATGTTGGGCAAATTGCCTTTTTTTTTCCAGAACTATCAATAATTTTCCCTTTTGCGATGAAATACATAAATCAAAAGAACATATTTCATAAACATACACTGATTATGAAACACCTATTCTTCATCTATCGATTCCTAAAACTTTATTTACCCATGCATCTTTTTTTCCTTCATTGTATCGGATTAGAAAGGCTCTTTTTTATGTTATTGTAGCTGGAATCCTAAGGGGCTCTTGAATCGTCAGTGTATCAAGGAGCCTTCAAAATAGCATAGAAAATGTGAACAACCTCCTTGCTAAACTTTTTCTTGTTCCCACAGTTTCAGGATTTCATTAACTTCAAATTATAGTAATTGTTTTACTACAATTTCACATAAATACTATAGGGTTACTATACTCATGATTCTTTGATGCTATTTATCCTATAAAATGTGTGGAACTGCTTAAGGGAAAACAGTATTTTCATAGGAAACTCTGAGGTTTTACTTTTAAATAATGTACAATTAAATGTAATACACTTCTAAACTGTTGTTTCCATTAATACATAAGAAGCTCCTCAAGCAAACTCTCTTACATATCCCAAACCATTTTTAAAAGGGAATCAAAAGAGATCTCTTTAATAACTATAGCTTGTGCTGATTCAATATAAAAATGAAGCTTCAAAAATCTGCTAATACTATCAGTGTTCCCTGCTTGATAATAAAAAGACTGAATTGATTTTTTCCAGTTTTAGGACAAAAAAATGCGACATAATGAATTTCAGCTTGATATAATTTGAAATAGCCAATATATTAAACCCCACAGTGAAATTTAAATTGGCAATCATGTCAGATTCAAGTCCCTGAATGAATATTAATTTAAAACTAATCATATTCCAACAGGTTGAAGCTTCAAAATGCTAGTTCTTGAATAAAAGCTGTTAGATCCATGACTACACCATTGGGCATTTTTTTGTTTAGGAAATTAGACCTCCAATATTCAGTATGTCTGGCTCTTCCTGGCACCTTTGCTTGCCCAGGGATATTAATTATTTAAAAATCATTCTTTTTCCAAATCTGGAATTCTGATTTTACTAATGGAAAGATGATACCAAGTGGACTGTCTGAGATAAGGTATAAGGTTGCACCTGTCCATTATTTTATGTCACCGTGTCTTGTAAAAGTTAAATGTAAAGCTGGTTTCTGAGACAATTCCATGAGCAAGCGCATATTGTTTATTTTTTTTACACACACACACACACGCCATATAAATTAATTGATTTGTAGCCATGTTGGAGGATGAGTAAAACTATGCATATGCATTAATTTCAGACTTGCAAATCAACATTTGACTAAAGTAGACTATCAGTTATGTTCTACCCTACACCTAGCAATACGAAAGTCCCTTAATCTTCAAATCGGAATTTGGATATAATACATAACAATGCAACAGTAAGTGGCATTTTATATACAAATGTATTCTTTGCAGTTATAGAGTAAAATCCACTTGCAAGCTCCCTCTGCCCATACCTCCACCAATAGAATGTACCCCAAAAACATTTCCGTGTAAATAGCAGACAGCACGGAGAAGCAGGAAAAAACATAAGCTTGCAGTCAGTGCGGGAGCTAACTCTGTCACTTAGGATCCAGACAACCCTGCCCAGCAGCTCTCCATGCTTGGGGGAACTGTACCTCACTCTACAGTCCATTCACTCTGCTATAAAGAATTCACGGAAGCCTCATTTTGTTCCTGCAGGCCCTTCCCCTTGTCACATAAGTGCAGAAATTGAGTCCAGTGCCTCTGGTAAGACTCCACAGTGTCAGGACCCGAATCAGACCCCCCCATCATAATCTCTTGTCCTCCCCCCTGCTTTTTGTAACAGCTTCTCAGGAATCAGCACATTTTTTTATTACACACCTAGCAAATGGATTACTATACCTTTCATGGTGTCTTACATGTATTCAGGCCAGTGCCCACTAAAGAAACCCTCTGCTGATCTCCACTTTAGAGAAAATAATCACTCTCTCACTTTTATTTCAAGGAAGCCAGATTTTCATAATGCTGGATACCCCCAAATCTACCAATAAATGTCAGATGAATAAATGACCGATCTGCATGACTTTTCTAATGTTTTTGGCTGTTCAGTTCTGTAGCTTTACCGTGAAATGCAGAATGCGGGGGACAGGGGAACTATGTAAAAGTAAATAAATAAAAGAAGTGTGCAAATTGGAAGGGACAAGTTTTCTCTTGATAGCCAAACAGTTATGAAATAAGGCAGTCTCATTAAATCATAAGGACTTGAACTTTCTCTCAAAAGATGGGAAAGGTTTAAAGATTTATGAAGAAATTTTGCCTAAACTAGGAAAGGACTCCTGTTTGACATGGACTGAAAAGACAGTGCTGATTCCAATGGGCACTCTAAGAGCATTTCACTCCCCGGAGAGTAATGCCGTGGTGGTTACCTCTTCACATCGGGGTTTTCGACTTTCTCTGTGAAGCTTTTAATGGACTGCCACCAAAACATGATGCAGACTCCCAGAGAAGGCCACATAAAGGCAACTGCAAAGGACTGCTTTCATCGCGGTTGAGACAAAAATAGGAAATCATGTTCATTTGACATCTTCCACAGATTCCCTTTCTTCAGCCATTTCTATTCACACATTTTTAACATTAGAACCCAATCTTGCTACACTAGTCTGTGGGTGGAATGGGCAATTTCAAGGCAGAGGACAAATTAGGCCCCTCTCTGCTAACTATGGAACAAATGAGAGGTAAGGTCTGGCCAATCGAACCCATCTCTTTTGTAGTCACAGCCTGACCCCAGACATGACCACCCCTTCGTAGGTTCTTTCAACATGGGTGACATAGAAATATTGCTCCCCAACCTAAGTGCCCATCAGTAAATGAGTGGACCAAAAAACTGTAGTACATTTACACAATGGAATACTATGCAACAGAGAGAAAGAAGGAGCTCCTACCCTCTACAGCAGCATGGATGGAACTGGAGAGCATTATGCTAAGTGAAATAAGCCAGGTGGTGAAAGACAAATACCATATAATCTCTCCTTTAACTGGAACACAATCAATGAAAGAAAAATGCAAACAGAATACAACCAGAGACATTGAAATTAAGAACAATCCAACAATAGCCAGAGGGGAGGGGGGAGGGGACAGAGGGGAGAAGGGTTTTCAGGAACTACTATAAAGTACGCATGGAAAAAACCAAGGGGGAGGGTAGAAGCAAGAGAAGGAAGGTGGGTTTGGCTGGGGTGGGGGGAGTGGTAGGGAGAAAATGCAGACAACTGTAATTGAACCACAATAAAGCAATTAAAAAGAAAAGGAAATATTGCTCTCCGCCAAATGCATTCACTAAACTCACATCTTAACTAAACGCTGAGCAGATAAGGCATAAAATGCTGATTGAATATCACTTTGCCAATACCTTCCTATAGAAATCAATCGTGGTTACCTCTCTGCATTTCTATTCTAAATGTTCTTCCTATGACTTTCCATTCACTGCTACTCAAATACATGGCACAATTTTGGTCACAATCAGGTACAACAAAGATACACACAAGTGTATTTAAATCACCAAGAACAACTTCTATGCTGAGATAGACTCTAAAACCAAAGCCACAACCCTCAGGAGCCTCTAAGAAAGTCCATTCTTGGGTGGGATGAAAATGTGAGAAAGCAAAGATTATTTTCATGACATGAATGCGGACACAAATGTCCCCTGGTGCAAGCGGGGTTCACAAGGACTGCCGTTCAAGTGCCTCTATGAGACCACAACTGAAAACTGCAGACAATGCCTCTGGTGTGAGAGGCAAGGGTGACTTTGGCTGCATTGGGCCATTTTAATGCCCTGAGGACACAAAAGGATAAACTGTGTTTATTCCCAGGAACCGTAAACTAACAGACATCTCAGTTACCTCGGCCTTTAGCAGCTCCTAAGGTTAATGCAAACTGTGGTTGACAAGTAAAGCAATACTATAACACCTTTTGAGTTTCTGATGTGTGAAGTTCATTAGTTCTAAAGTCAGCATTTTAATGCAACAGCCAAAGTTTATTCACATCAGCAGATGCTACCTGCAAAAGGCAGCTGTAAAAACCAGGCGGGGCTTTCACATGGCCATGACTAGTGAAATTACTTCTGGAGGCCGAAATAGCCCTCACGCATTTTTGAGCAAAATAAAACATACTAACCAAATGCAAAAGAAATTTCATGAGGACATTATTATTCCAGGCTGCCTTGTCTTGAACTTCGGTGGGATTTTTCACAGCAATTTTCAGGGGACAGTGCTGGTGTATCATGAGGTGTATCATTAGGTCTTTTAAATATTGATTTTCATGTGTCATTTACACACACGCTTAACGTCTAAAAGAGCCCGTTTCCGATCTTGTGGGGAAATGCCATTTAAAGACAAGAAAGGAAGATAGAGTCTTCTGTTTAACCAAATGTTAAATATTTTTTATTTCACTCACCTGCACACTCAGATGAATCCATTTCTTCACAAGAATTCTCCCTAGTGTCGTTACTTTTATTGGAGGCTGCAAACCATGGACTGTGCGGTAATAAAACATGGTCTCTTTCTCAGATATTGTGAGTTTGAACACAATCTGCCCATCCACCGTCTTCTCTATAATACACCTTCGGAAGCAAGGAGAAAAGACAAAAGGTCGGCATGGAACCAAAAGACAGGCTAAGGAATCGTGTATTTACAGAGGTGTAACTGATCCCAAACTCCACTCCAAATCCGCACTGTGCACAAATGCCCGAATGGCGTTGTACTGAGAGCAAGCTTTGTTCCAATTAAAAAGCCTTTTTTATTTCAATAGAAAATAGAATTCTTATTTGTCATAAATTCCCCAGAACCTCAACACCCTTTATTAGATGTTCATGGTGCAAACTAAAGTAGCTGAATCACCCTGCAAAACTAACATTTAGCTCATTGGCTCATCAGTTTCCCTGCTACTTCTTTTATAGGAAGTGACACAATTCATATCCTGGGGATTGAATTACCAGTGCAAATCTTTATTTCTTTTTTGTTTAACATAAAGAGAATTTAGTGTTCAGAAAGGGCTCTGAGCTGCTCTGTTTAATTCCCACAGTGAAATGGAGAACCCACAAGTACAGTCTTCACCTCCTTGCCCATCACTGACCTAAAGCCAAAGCCGGAGTCTGCGAGATGACTGGCTGCTGACCCTGACCACACCACCCACTGAGGCACTGTGACAGTGTTAATGATCTTGGATGAATGACTCAAGGCTGGTCATCAACTTGTTATTTTTCAAAATCACTTCTATCCTAATCACAGTAATATTCTTCTCCGGCCCCTTTAAATAGGTTTATGGCATTTTTATGTTCTATCCTTTTAGTTTGTGTTCAATATAAATTTTGTTATATTACTTATATCATTGTGTATTCCTGACCATTCTGTGTCCACAGAGCAGAAACAGAGATGAACGTAAGCCCCATTCCTCTTGATCGCATTTCAACCTAGCAACTCAACTTTTTAACAGAACACAGGTGAGAAATGCTTGCTAGTTGCCTTCTCAGTGGGTTATTCCCAGAGATCTACTGTTTAAGGAGAAATAACACGGACAGCATCCCATCAAAAGACTCACTATTTAAGATGGCCTTCAGCCTGTATCTCATAAAGAACTCACAAAAGTGGAACATCCCAGGGAGGAGACCCCATTAGGTATTGAAAGACTCTGGGCCCCTTTCTTCTTGCCACTGCCTCCTGCTCAGCCCAGAAATCTCCATGAGTATTCCTGATCCCGTAACCCTCCTTGCTCAAGACTTCTGAAGGCATCTTCCTTGGTATGTACTTAACCCACTGGGTTACCTTGCTAATAACACTATCTGTCTCCCCAGTAGATCTGAGTTTCCTAAGAATAGAAGTAGAACCTGGTATATAGGAGACCCTCGGAAAATGATGAGTTAGTGACCAAACGGAGGAGGAAGCATCAAAGAGGCAAACATCAGATGGGACAAAGCAAGAATTAGTGCTAAAGGTATTTAAAAACTTTTCTTAAATAGAACATTTTCCACAGAGCGCCCCTTTTATTACACGTACTCTTTCCCAGAGTTCAGAGATGAGACTAAGTTTAGAGAACACTTAATAGTCACTTACTGCCACTATTTTATTATATTTTGTACCAATGTTTGGTGATAAAGATGAGAGTCAATATATATTTTAAGCAAATAAGTTTGGCTGACATACAGTTTTTTATATAAAGTAGAAATTAGGCTTTAAAGAAACCCTACTATGATTTTTTTAACCCTTCAGTACATGATTATTTCTAAGTCACTGGAAGGAAAAGAGTTTCTCTATTCCCTGACTCCAGGTCTTGAACAATCTAGGAAAAAAAATGTGCCTCTAGCCATTTTTTGTCCATTTCAATTTGCAATACAAGTTAGCATTTGACTGTTACTCAAGAATATATTTACCAAAGGTAGGCTTACTTCCACAAGCTTAGTGAAAATGCATTTCTTAATATGTTATTGATTATCTTCCTTGCTATTTTGTTTGCCTGTAAACATTCTAGCTTTGGTAGATAATGAATGTAGAGGAAGGCAGGTAGCAAAATATTTAGGAACTGGATTTATTCTGCTCCTGGATAAACAATAATTGGATAATCCGTGTTTTGTTTGTTTTACTTATCGAGTGCAAACACCCCGAAATTCCCCCAATTCCCGTAGGTATTTTAGAATTGAGAATGGAAATGACCTTGAAGCAGAGAACTCTCGAAACTGTAAGCCATGTGCTATGGCCTCTATAAATACTCCTCTGTCTCACTTATACGAAATGATGGCCATAGAAGATGAATTTGGTAGAGACATATCCTTTGGGGAAAAAAAAATATTTTGTCCTAGCCATATTTGTCAGGAGACACTTTTTAAGACTGCACACTAGTTATATAAACTGAGTAGGCAGGATTTACTGACATTTCAAACAGTAAGAAAACAGGATTTTCTTTTAGGAGTGACAGAGAAATTGAGATGATGGTTTGAGATGATTTTTCACTCCACATTTTTTAGAAAATGAAAATATGCCAACTCTCACTTGGCACATTCAAACTAAACACCCAAGACATTTAAGTCCTATTTGCTCAGGAAATTATAAGACTTTTCTGGTTTGTTTCACACGTTTTTTAGATATTTGGCCAACACTGTCACACAATGAAACTGTCACCCTGGAAAGGAACAGATGCCCCGCAGGAAGACAAAGAATAAGGAAAAATGCCTCCAAACTTGTCCTACTTATTCCAAATTCCAGACTGGCTCTAGACACTCGGGGAAAACACATTATATATTGACTGAAGAGACTATTACAGAATAATAGACACATGATTACATAAACTGATTTTTAAAAAACCCCAATACTCAGGAAGCCACACTCCAAAGTCACTGAAGGCATCTGTACTGGGATCAATAAACACACAGGCATTTGAGGCCCTTTTACGTTTCCCTACATACTTCCTAAGAGATGTCAGCTCCACAAGGAAAAGGGCCAAAAGTTTTACCTGTTTCATGGATGGAGGATTAGTCATCATCGGGCACTTTCCGTGACTCAAGCCAACATCCCTTCTTAGGGAAATCAGGACAAAAACGCCCTAAGCCCTCAGAGAGTGTTCTGCCTAATGAAAACTTTATACTCTTGTAGGGGCAGTTTGTTCATATAAACTTGGACCAAAACTTTGAAAATGTCAATGACTTGCATTACTAGTTCCTAACTGTGAAACTCACTGTGGCTGATTTAGCGTCTGACGCCTAAGAGAAAGGCTGTACTCAGCCAACTACTGGGGAACACAGGAGACAGGTGTGAGCATGGGAGCCTGTGAGGAGGCCATCTTAATACAGGCTTTATTGAAGGTTCACTTCATTACGGTAAGTATAAGGGAATGATTACATTTAGAAAAAAATGTTTGCAATGCAAACTTATGTAGAAAAGACTAGCATAGGAGTTGGATTTCTCCACTCACGTGGATTTCACAGGGCTAGCCTGCCTTCCTAGTCTGGAAGTCAAATTATACTAGTCTTCGCTACAAGTGATTTTTTAGGCCCCTAGGAAAGCTTACACCCACCCTACTACTTACATTACACCTTCTTGCTCGGGTTTCAACCACACAGCTAGCGTGAATGACGCCGCCAGCCTTGGAGGAGGAGGAGCGGAAAAGCAATTCTTGGGATTTCCGAAAATAAAACTTGTGGCGTTTTTCGGCGAGTAGGGCCGCAGATCCTGCTGGTCCCTGGCAACGCAGCTCCCGAGGCCTGCTGAGAGAAGGGCGGTGAAGGCCGGGGGTGCAGACCCGTGTGGGCAGTCCTGGACGCAAAACTGCTGGCTACAGAACTCCAGACTGTCAGCGGCAGCCGCCGAGCTGCGGCAGAAAGTGCTTCTGTCTGGGAGCCCACACGTGGCGTGGGTTGGCACGACCGAGACAGTCTTGAAAGCGCCCACGTTCTCCAGCCTCGGGAAAAGGCCCTGCGCGCCAGCCCATGAAAGGGAAGCGAAGTAGGAAAAGATAGACGTTTCAAGGATGTGAAACAAGAAACCAAAGTTCAGGGAGAGAGCCAGGCAATGCATGTTTATAAAAAAGCATTCTCCTCCTGGGTAAGCGTTCCTGAAGAAGTAATCAGCCGGCCACTGCTCGCCAGCCCCACGTGGAAGCCGGGCGCTCTAAGGAACTGGCCTGGTCTTCCATTTTCGGGAAACTGCAGGCGCGTTTTCACACGGAGGTAGTTCCAAAGGCGTCCTGGGCAACGGCGGAGACATGGGTAGCAGCTGGTGTCTGCGAATCAAAAACAGGGTGTCAAGTAAAAGCTGCTACATCATTAAAACTTAAGTTCTTCCGAAGAACCGGGGACCTGGAGCTCTTGACAAGCACCATTATTGCACTTCTCAAAAAAAGGAATCACGGGGGAGGACACTGTCTTGGAGTAAAAACGCTCATTCTTTTGGCAAATAGCTGCATTTTGTCAAGCAGGTGCAGCACTTTAAAGTTCACAGGACAACCAGATTTGTAGCCACACACACACACACACACACACACACGCATCTATTTTTATTGATGTGTTTTGCCACAGTCAAGTCACATCGTTGCTCCACCGCAGAGAATCGGCGCTGCCTGTCCACAAGGTAAAGAACATACCGCACAGGTTTGCTTTGCGCACGCACCGTCTGTTCCAAAGCAGAGCTCACTCGCAGATGTCCGAAATCAAGCCAGCAAAAAGCACTTTGGGCCTCGCCCCCTCATCCCAGCAGGTGCAGCAACTTTAAGCCCGCAGAAAAGCTGCTTAGGAGCCCAACACCATCTGTCTGTCTTATGCCTTACTATTTAGCAAACGTTTATGTTCGTGTTTCCCCCTATGACTACGTATTTGTAGGTTAAATATGGACCCCTAATACCGTGTAAGTAATTGTATTGATAAATAAGCTGAGTTACCATTTCTTTATTGCATTTCAACCAGTCCCCTCAGTGTGACAAATGACTCTTCACAGGGCCGCGGTCCCTCGTTGCCTGGCAACACTGCGGCGACCCCCGGTTACTTTTAGCAGATAGGCTTGTAACAGCATAAAGGCTGCAGGGAAGACTTGGCTGCCCAAGGCCGGGATTCTGCACAGCACACACTTGGTTACCTGACACTCAGCGCAGTCAGCTGGGTGGCCCGCCTGGAACTGAGCTACCTTGCCCTTCCGCAGGTGCCTGGAGCAGGGGGCGGGGCCCGGAGGGGCCAGGCATGCATAATTTTAAAGTAGCAGTACACCTTATCCGATAATCCCCATGGCCCCTCCTCTCACGGCTTTGCTGCGCCTCAATCCATTTCATCGTGGCCTCAGAGTGATTGGCCAATGTTAGTAACACAACACATAATTTCCAGGGTGCTCTCGATTTTATGGGGTACAAATACATTGATCACCTGCAGGCTTGGTCTACGAATGAAAGTTTCTTTGGACTGTTCAGTTTCTGCATTTTCTTAGTCAAGGTACCTCTCGCCTAATAACCCACGCAGCTTTAGATTATGAGGAGCAATCTGATATTATCTAAACGGGTTCCATTTGGATCATCAGGGATTTTAATGATGCTTCAGAAGCAACAGACCTGCTGACTTTTTAGCTACCTGATTGGATGAGAGCATGCCTGCATTCACCAATGCCTGCTTGATGTTAGTTCTGTGTAGTTCCTATCACATCCAAACTCTCTTTCCTATTACCTCGGATCTCTCATCTTGAATGGGAAATATTCTAAAGCAACTAATACTGCTCCCCATTTTTATCTTCAAAATAGAAAACTTGTTTGAGGGAAAAAAATCAGCCAATTGTGGTTTTGTTTTCTGAAAACTATCATATTTAGAAAAACGTTTAGAAATGGCAGAGATGCTTGTATAGTGTGTCTTGTTAGTGAGACAGCCAGAGACCAACCCAAAGTGACTTCTATCAAATGCTTTTTAAAGTTTCTTTTCTAGAAGAGATCTGAGAACCACAAACTTTTGATTTATCAACTTATCAATTAGAACAAGGTGCTTCTAGAGGAAAACTTCACTCGCCAAAATGCCCTCTTCTCTGCTTGTTGATTATTGCAATCTTGCAAGGGCAATGTTTAAATTAAATATAAACTTTCACTTAAAACCAGCTGATGTGTCATTACAGATGTTATATGTAAATTCTGAGAGTGTGGGAAAAGAAGTTTTGAAATAGATATATAGGACAGGAAGACTTAGACGCATGGATTATTCAAACCCGCTATAGAACATACAACCAATGTTTGTCTTTGGATGAGTTATTCAATGGCAGGCTTCTCTCCATCCCTAGCAAATCCAAGGACTAACATTAATTTTTAATCGCCGAATGTCAGTGTGTCTTTGGGGTCTCCATTCTGGAGATAAGGATTCTCCCACCATATAACAACCCCTGCTTCTCACAGAGAGTCATGCCTCAAAATAGACAAGCTAAGATTAGCGACTCCACTCCACATTCAGACACTCTGCCTGTAATTTGCAGAGGCAGACGATGGTCTGACACATCCCTCAGTGTTCTCGCCTCGGTCCTATCCAACCTGGGGACACTTCTGGTAACTGAATCCGGCACCAACACTTCCACCACCCCCAGCAGTGCCTGCGAAATAAGCATAGGGAAAAAAAGGCAAAGTGTATAAGAAGATGTTTTAGTTAAGCATGTGAGTGGCCTCATGCTATAATTTATTTATCTTTATATATTTCTGGGACTAACTGGATAGTTCTTCTGGTGGAGAGCGGCTTGGATTGGCTGGCGCCGGCCAGTCTGATTCAGCCTCGCTCTTTTATCTTAGTTTGTTTAATGGTCGTGGGAATCTATTCTAACAGCAGAAAAATCCCCGGCACCATAAGATGGGGGGCCTAAGGTGCAAATAGTTTTCAGGCCTCTGCTTACATCACATTTGTAAATGTCCTATTGGCCACGGAAATTCACAAGACCAAGCCCAGACTCAAGGGCTGTGAAATAAATTCCAATCTTCACAGAAGGAATGACAAAGTCGCATTGCAAAGGGCCACACCTAGAGATTAGAAATAATTAGTGACCATTTTGCATTTGACCAGAGAGAGAGTTGCTAGCAATTTATTTTTCTAGTTGTAAAGACATGATGCCACATTAAATCAGCATATCTCTGTTTTGCAAAAGTCAAGAAAATGATATTTTATTTAGACAACTATAAGCAAGTTTATTCCCTTTATCCTGCAAAAGCTGACTACAATGAGCTTAGCTTATCACGCACTTTAGGCCTCGCTCTTTTTAATGGACAAAATCAAGAGGTACCCCCTATTCTTGAGTTTTTTAGGATCCAATGATTTACTATTAAAATTGACTAACCTCTGGCATAACTGATCAAGAAAAAAAACAGTAGACATATAATAATTACTCTTAGATATGAAAGTAGAGGCATAAACCACAGGTGTAATGTGATCGCAAATGTAAGAAAATATTATAGACAATTTTATAAGGATTAAACTTGCACTCTGAGGCAAATTGGACCAACTCCTAAAAATATTTCCAACCTAACCTGACTCAAAGAAGAAGAGAGCTAGAAACATCCCCCATGTCCATGCGCTATAGAATACAAAATAAACTATAGTATATCCAAACAATGAAATGAAATAACACGATGAAAGAAAGGGGAACTAATGCTAGAAGCAGCAATGTAGATGAATCTCACAGATGTGGTAGTGAGTGAAAAAAGCTAGACACACCAAGACCATATTGTATGGTTCTATTTACACAAAATGCAAACAGCCAAAGCTAAGGTGCTGTGATGAAAGTCCAAATAGTGTTTTTTGTTCTTTAAAAAAGAGAATAAAATGGGAATGGGCTCAAGCAAGTCTGCAAGAGTGCTGGGATTTCTGTATCTTGACATGAGTGATGGATACATTTGAAAAAAATCACCAAGTTATTTACTTTAAGATGTGTATACTTTGTGCAAATTATACCTCAACAAAAATAGTAAATATTTTTTTAAATATAAATCATTCTATTTACTAAATAATCTGCAATTACACTTCTCCCAGCAAAGAAAACAGTGGGCCTGGAGAGTTGTGCAAGTCAGTTATTCCACACATCTGGAAAACTGCAATTACAGTTTTCACACACATTCTTGCAAATATCATAAGAGAATTTTCACCAACTTATTTTACAAGGCTAGTACAAAGAAGGAAGCTTGTATAACTTGATGGGTAATATACAAAAACAACCAACATCATAAGTAATAATGATAATTAACCCTTTTGCTACATATCAAGAGAAGAACAAAGGCACCCATTATCACTGCTTCTATTGAACATTTTATGAGCTAGTGAATTAAAATAGAAAACGTCACTGTTAGAATGTTAACCTTTTCCTACACACATGAGTGTGTATATCCTACATGAAACAGATTTGTCATCCTAAAAAACAGGTTAGCAAAATGCTTCCAGTTTGCAAAAACTTCTTCCATATTCTTTTGCAGTTTTCTAAACCAGTGCAATCCCTTGAGACACTTAAAATCCAGAGAGTAAGTTGAACGACTTTTTTTGTGAACAGCAGCCATCATTCTCACTTACTCCGGTTTCTGAATTCCTAGGAGGGCTGCTAATACCACAAGGTACCTAAGAATAAATGTAAGACATAGTATGTGAGTAAAAGTGACGTGTGTCATTTGCGGGTGAAAGAGGTGGTGCTGGCATGTCCCTCTCCCACTCACACTGAGATGGACCATCCGTCATCCAGATTCCCCAATGACTACAACCAGCACCCTGGTTACCCAGCGTGGGTCAGACACAAAGCCATGTGGTCTGCAGCCAGTGAGGTTTCAGGGCTGTCTGTGATGGCAGGCGGGATGACCCTATGTGACACTCAGGTCCTGCTGGCCACCCTACCAAAGGTACCTGGGAACAAGGCTGGTGGTGCACTGAGCAGACAAGAATGGCCTCCTCCCCACCCCAGAAACATACTGCCTCACTCAGCTGGTGGGGGCTGACCCCTCCCACTGAATCTTCCACTTGCAAATGCCTGGAAGGCAGCTTTGATTTGTCAGTTATATCTGAGGAAGTGGCACCTATTTAGCCCATGAGAAACTA